TGTGGACCAGGTGTATGGGGGTGCAGTGTGGACCGGGTGTCAGTGTGGAATAGCTGTGTGGAGAGGCAGTGGTGGACCAGGTGTATGGGGGTGCAGTGTGGACCAGGTGTATGGGGGTGCAGGGATGCAGTGGTGGAGGCGGGGTGGGGGGGGGGGGGGGGGGGGGGGGGGTGACAGGAGACCGCACGTGTAGTACACAGCCTGGAGGAAGAGCGATCCCCCCCACCGGGTGTCAGCGATGGATCTCTGGGCTGGGGACACCGCTGAGCCCTGGAAACTTGCCCATCGTCCATTCCACTTTGTATGATCGAGATTCTTCCTGCCCGCTCCAGATCACATTGTATCTTCCTCGGATTCTTTCTTTCTTTCTTCCTCGGATTTAAAGGGTTACTTTATGGGGGACATCTCCCTTTCCGGACATGTTAAGGAAGGAATTACCTCTACCGGAGGGCTGGGAAGAAGCCAGAGATGTTGATGGCAAAGTATATTACATTAATCACAGCACTAAAACCACCAGCTGGATAGACCCCAGGGACAGGTACGACCAGATCCCACTTTCTCTACTTCTTTATAAACTCTTAACTAAAGGCACAACTTATTTTGCTTTCATTTCAGGTAAAGTATGGAATGGTGACAACCCCTGTCAGAGTTTTTCATCCTAGTCCCATGGGGGAGATTTCCCTTCTCTTCCTGCCAACAGGAAGTGAGGGAAAAATCTCTCTAATGTAAGAGAAATCTCCTCTAAGACAGTTGTAGCCAGAACAAGTGTTCCCATAGGGAGATTTCCCCTCTGTTCCTGTTCTGGTGACAACTAAAAATGTTGTTTTCCCCCTGTTTTCCAGTTCCAGTGATGGGGATCACCGTGACAAATAAACAAAGTGAATCTCCCATATGGAGACACAGACAGTAATAAACACCTTATCAAAAATGAAAATAGAAGTTTGGGCTTTAGGCTCCGTTCACACATAGCGGTAGCGTTTTCTGCACAGAAAACCGCACGGAAACAAACCATGCAAACTTTAACATATGCGCGCATTCTGCACATTTGCGGCTATTACTGTTGCCGGAAGGTGCGGAACCTGCTCATAAAATCACGCTTGTACTACTTTGCGGGCCGCTGTAAAAGTTTGAACAATGCACAATGCAATGCATTGTTTTTTTTATGTTTAGAGCAGTTTGGCGCGTATTCGTACAGCCGAATATGTGCGGAAAACTGCTCATGTGTGAATGGAGTCTTAGATGCACACTGAGGGGAATTTATCAAAGCTGGAGCAGACAGAATCTGGAGCATTTGTCCATAGTAACTCATCAGCTTCTATCATTTTCAAAGCTTAACTGAACAAACTGAAGAGAGAAGCTGATTGGTTGCCATGGGCAACAGTTCCAGATTCCACCTGCTCCAGTTTTCATATATTCCCCCCAATGTTTCTTGTTGCTGTTGAATAATTTTGTATAGAACTTGGGACACTTTGATGACAGCAGTATAGATTTATAATTATCTGTCCTAGATTAGCAGCATTGGTAATGTTAAGACAAAACCTTTGTTAGTTTTGGATAGAGTAGAACAAAAGGTTGAAAGCCAATCAGAAAAAAGTGTATTGCCAAAATATTGTTGTCGCCATTGGGAGTTTTCCACTTACATTTTGCTTTGGACACATTCACACAGGGACTTCTAGGATTCCTCTGGCAAGAACCTACAAATACCTGCAGCAGGAATCCATGGCGTCCTCATTCAGACCCAGCCACTGTACGCCTTGAAGTTAAAGTGGAATGCTGGGGAAAATTATTATTAACCCGTGTAGTGGAGCTACCCCAGTACTGCAAGGGTTAAGTGCTCCCCTGAACCCCGGAGCCGGCTTGCTCTTAAGGTGCCCATACACTGCACGATTCTCGTACGAGAATCGCGGGAAATCCCGCGATCGTACGAGAATCTTGCAGTGTATGGAAGGCGTGCGACCGTTTCTACTGTACGGTCGCGCGTCTTCCGTCGAACCAGCAGGCTAGTTAACCTGCCGGGAATCGTACGATTCTCGGCAAGTTAGTGGCCTGCTGGTTCGACAACTGCCGAACGGGCCGGTGTGCACAACGCGCACAATGCCTTTTTGCAGTCAGCGTAAGCCCCCCCCTCATTGCAGTCATCGTAACCCCGCCCCTCATTGCAGTCATCGTAAGCCCGCCCCTCAGGGGGGCGGGCTTGCGATGATCGCAAGTACGATCTGCCTGTCCAAGATGGGCAGATCGTACGTTTTTTAAAGTACTTTACAACCCCCGCAAGACAAAAGTCTTGCGAGGGCTGTAAAGTGTATGGCCACCTTTAGACTGGTCCCTGGAGCCTCTCTCCTATACTGGAGCGGTCTAAGGCCCCATAAATCATCGCTTTATATTCACTGGGGGGGAGTTTATCAAAACTGGAGCAGTTGCCCATGGCAACCAATCAGCATCTTGCTTCAGTTTGCTCAAGCAAAAGTAGAAAATGAGAGATAGAAGCTGATTGGTTGCAGTGCACATCTGCTACAGATTTTGGCTGCTCCAGTTTTGATAAATTCCCCTCACTGTGTATTGGACGTGGAGACGCTGAGGGACACACCATCGCTGCATTGTAGGAGGAGACAGGCTGGAGGGAGCACTGTCACAGCCGGCTGTTATTTTCCTTCCTAGACTAAAAGGAGCACTTAACCCTTGCACTACGGGGTTAACCGCACTGCATGGGTTAATAATAATTTTCCCCAGAGTTCTTCAATGACAGGGTGACAGCGGCGACATCTGTAAGTGGCAGTCCACATGTATGTGATATGATTCCACACGGTTTGGAATAGATGATTGTCTATCCTAAACTGCATGTAATCTAACCATGTTGAAATGTTACCAGAGTATGGTGAATGTGAAGCTGTCACCGGCACAGATACCTCTTCTGATGGCTGTCTCCTTACCTTCTTTTCTGGTGACACCTGTAACATTTTGGATTTTCCATCACTTTCTGTACTGGAGACCACAGTCACCAGGACAAATGGAGAGCATTCATGTCCTGCTTGCTATATCCAAGGTTTGGCTTTAACAACAACTGTTTCTGTTCTTCTCATTCTTGTGGTTGATTCTCCTGTTCAGGTATGTTATTCACACGGTTTGAATCATCAGAGGTGTTATGCAGGTTTTTGGGGGCTGTATGAAGTCCCATTCACACCTGTGCGATCTGAAGTGTTTTAGCCGTCAACGCATGACAAAAGGAATCCCATTATTTTCTATGGGGACCCGTTCACACCTATGCACCAGTTCAACTTTGAAAATGGGTGCGATATACAGGTGAAACTCGAATAATTAGAATATCGTGCAAAAGTACCTGCAGTAAGTGCTGCAAAAGGGGCCCAAACCAAGTACTGAGTACATATGCATGCTTGTACTTTTCAGAGGTCCGATATTGTTCTATGTACAATCCTTGTTTTATTGATTGCATGTAATAATCTACTTTTTTGAGGTTGTGGATTTGGGGTTCTTGGGGTTTTCATGAGCTGTAAGCCATAATCATCACAATTATGACAAATCACGGCTTGAACTATCTTGCTTTGCATGTAATGAGTCTATCCCATATATTAGTTTCACCTTTTAAGTTGCAATAGTGAAATAAATGAACGTTGCACGATATTCTAATTATTCGAGTTTCACCTGTAGTGTGTGCTTTGCCCAATAGGCAAAAACACACATAACATGCATGTACGTTGGTGTTAGTGCATGCCACCAAGCCCCCCAACCCCTAGCAACCTTTACTTAATTTCCCCTTCATTGGCCATAACAAACACATAATGCATGAGAAAAGTGCACCAAAAACAGGCTAAGGGTACGTTCACACCAGATGCAGTGCGTTCCGGCCCGATTCTATTTTGTGGGGCAGGAGGGGGCGTGGCGGGCCATTGAAGTGAATGGCGCCGTAGCCACGCCCTCCGGTCGCAATGCGATCGTCCGCACGGGATCGCAAGGCACATTGTGCCTGTGGTCCAGTCTGGTGCGGTGCGATCAAAATGCTGCAAGCACTATGTGAGCAGGCCGCAATGCGATGCAGTGGCTTCTGGCCAGAATCGAGCCGGAACGCACTGCATCTGGTGTGAACGTACCAACAAATGCATGAAAGTGTGAGCGCAAACTAAGAGTTTTTGTAAGCTATGGGAGTCATTGAGGTTTTCTTTCTGTAGAATTTGCCCTGGATTTGTAAACATAACAGGTCCTGTAGTGTGCAGTAAATTGTAACGGATGACTAATAGAGGAACTGTAAACAAATTGGTTGTTAATACTTTACTTTGTGGTATGGACTGAAAGTTTCCAGGCTGTTGATCTTGGGTTCTGTTTAATGAAAAGTAGTGTATATACTGTACATGTGTGACTGACAGCGACCCTGTATTGTTAGGGTTACATTCATACAAGCCTCCTGCTTTGGTTTTATTTAAAAGCAGAGAAGTTGATCTGGGAAGTAAAAATAAACTTTATACTTCTCAGGTCACTTTCTCCTGTGTTTAACCACCTGCTGACCAGGTCCTGTCCAGGCCATTTTTCAGTGTTCAGCGCTGCGGTACTTTGACTGACATTTATTCCGTCATGCAACACTGTACTGAAATTAATTTTATACCATTTTCTGGGGACAGACAGATCTTACTTTTGGTGGTATTTATTCACCACTGGGGTTTTAAATTTTTACTATATTAAGGAAAAATTGCTGACAATTTTGGAAAAAAAAGTTTTAATTTACATTACCGTATGTTATAATACAATCATTATTACCCAATTTGTGGGTAAAATATAAAAGGCGGGGTCACGTCGGGTAAATAGACACCAAACATGTCAAGCTTTAAAATTGCACGCACCTGCGAAATTGCAAAAAACTACCATGCCTAAAATTGACCATAGGCGACGCTTTAAAAGCTTTTACCGCTCATCAGTTTAGTGTTATTGGTGATTAATGGTCCTACAATTATTGCTCTCACCGCGATGTTCGCGGCGTAATGGGCGCAATCGAAGCCTGTTTGCACGCTTGTATGTATGGCTGGGGGCTTAAAACATTTTTTGTGGGTTTTTTTTATTCTTTTTCATGTGTGACTTAAATTTTTTAAATTTTTTCCCCCTTTTTTTTTTACATAACTTTATTGTTATCACATATGGGGCTAAGAAACCCCCTGTGTGATAGCAAAGAGATGTGACAGGTCCTCTTTATGGAGACATCAGGGGTCTCTAAGACCCCTAATGTCACCTAGGGACCACCAAAGAAGCTGATGAAGCAGAGATCTGCTTCATCAGCTTCTCCCCAGCGTCTGAAGCTGGAGAGTGACAGCAGAATGCGGAAGTGATGTAACAGAACGGCACGTTATACAAGCAATCCACCGGCTCTACAGCCGGTGGATTGCTTGTATGTAAACAGGCATCGCTGCCTGTTTTTAAATTTTGGCAGTTTCCCGCTCGTGCGTGGCTGACGGGACGTCTTATTGTACCGCCATTTCCATGCTTTATATGTGTTTAGACACATTCAGAGTATCTAATCTGCCCCTCAACATACAG